CCACCCAGGCGCCCCTATGGGATCCACTTTCAACATAAGCCTAGAATCTTCTCCGCTGCCACCCTGGTCCCAGCCCACATCAGCTATATCTTGCCAGGATTACTGCAATGGCCTACTGACTGACCATTCTACTTCCATTTTCAACTCCCCACAGTCTTGCCTCCATATAGTAGCCAGACTGCATCACATAGTAATTCAGACCACCCTGCTTACCACCTCAGTTCCTCCAGTGTCTCCCCATCTCCCCCAAGAACAACAAATCCAAAGTTCTCACCACGGCCGGTCAGGTCCTTCCTATGTGATCTGGCCCTTGGCTGTTTCCCCAAAGTCATTATTACCTCTCTCCCCCTTGCCCACCGCAAGCCACTCTGGTATCTGGCTACTTCTCCCACAGGATTAACCACACTAGGGTCCCCAGGCCTTTGTACTTACTATCTCTTCTTCCCAGAAGCTCTTCCCAAAGATATTCCCATGTGGTGTTCCCACACTTCATTCTGAGATCTGCTCTAATGACACCCTCGGAGAGCCCCCTCTCGAAAACTCAATCTCAAACAGCAGCCCGTCACTCTCAAACTCTTACTGCCAGTTTATTTTTCTTCATAATGTGCCTCACCACTGTGTTACATTATACTTGTTTACTGCTGTTTCCCCACTGAGGAAAGGTAAGCCTGTGAGATGCTGGATATGTTAATCAACCCGATTGTGATGGCCATTTCACAAAGAAAACGGATGATTTAAATATGTACAATTGTATTTGTCAATTACAATTTCAATAGGGTTGAAAAGTTAAATAAGAAGAGAACACAATCCTCACCATATAACTCACCTTTTGATTTCTATTTTCCTTATTCATATCAATGAGAAAAAAAAAAAACTTTAAAATTAAAAACCAGATCAATTTTGAGGTAGCTCCTTTTCCTGCTACATTATTTCCTAATACAGTATTGTGTATTTTGAGTCCCAGAGGACTAAGCTAATAAGGGAACATACTTTTTTTTTTAAATTTTTTTAATGTTTATTTATTTCTGAGACAGAGACAGAGCATGAGTGGGGGAGGGGCAGAGAGAGAGGGAGACACAGAATCCGAAGCAGGCTCCAGGCTCTGAGCTGTCAGCACAGAGCCCAACACGGGGCTCAAACTCACAGACTGCGAGATTATGACCTGAGCCGAAGCCGGACGCTCAACCGACTGAGCCACCCAGGCGCCCCGGGAACATACTTTTAAAGAGATAAGAAAAAATATTCTCAAATAAAAACCTGGGTTTTTATTCGAAGACTAAAAAATTATGGTAGTAAATTTCCCATTTTGATCAACTGTTATCCACCCTTTTCTCTGATGTTATTTATGTGGGGAAGGACAATAAATTTTGACTAATGTTCTCTAAGCAGTAATGCATTTATGCATTGACCTAATTCTACTGAAATTTCTTAGATTAAAAAATGGTTTCTAAATCAACACGTGTCCATCAAACTTTAAGTCCATAGTACTAAGTAGAATGAATTTAAAAAAACCCATATGAGTCAAAATCTCTCTACATTTTTATCTGCTCATGGGGCTTCTATTACTGAGAAAATATATCTGCCTTAAGTAGTTTGTACATACTACAAGATATGGCATGAGAAGAAAGGCAGCCAGGGTAACACAGCATCTCCAGGTGAACTGACCAGTGCTATAATATTAAGTCAAAGTGCTGCTTCTGTTCAATCTTTCTGAGAAACACTGACTGCTTGTGAAACAGTGACTTTTGCCTGTTATACTTAGAGCTCTTGTTTTAGGATCTGAGTGGGTTCTTGGTCATGAGAAAAAAAAAAAAAAAACCAAAAAACAAAAACAGGACCTTCAATTTTTCTACCCAAAAGAGAATATTCAAAATGCACAAATATACTGACTGATTGTGACCCTTTAATGAATTCCTTGAATCCTAACCTTACCTTTTTTTTTTTTTTTAATTTTAGACCGACTGTGACTTGCGGAAAAGTTGCAATCGTAGCGCTGAGAATTCCTGTGAACCCTTTACCCAGCTGCCCACAGTGTTAATTAACATGCTAAATAATCATGGTACCTTGGTCAGAATTAAGAAATTGAGATACCATTATTAACTGCAACCCTATTTTATTCTGATTTCACCAGTGTTTCAACTTATGTCGTTTTTCTGTTCTGGGACCCAGTCCAGGTTCCCATGTTGAATTGGGAAGCCTTACCTTTTGATCTGTTTCTTCATCTTCGTTTTGGTAATCATCGCAGAGGGGGTTGGTCCTGGCTGCAAAGGTCGGCCCCTGGGAGTAGTACTGTGAACTTCGGAAGCCATCCCGCCTCAGCTTATCACATTCTGCAGAGGGTACAGGCCAGGGAAGGGGTGGGGGAGGAAGGGCGTAAAAAACCAGAACTTGCTTGCTTCTCTTTATTTACCTTTTCTAGCAATATTTTCCTAGGCGTAAGATTTCAAAGCAATCATACTATTAATAATGAAAATGATGATCAAAACAACTAAGAGTTAGTAGATTACACACTACATACCATGTTCAAATGCTTTAATGGGATGATTACCTTTAGACTTCACAACAACCCTCTGAGTCAGGTTTAGAGTAATTAAATTATTTTCTCAGTAAATGTTATACAGATAAGCAATGGACTCAGAATATGAAACCGGGTTCTTAATTACTGTAATTGTTTATGCACGGCAGCAGATGATGCAACTGCTCATCAAAAAATACAAAACTTCGGGGCGCCTGGGTGGCTCAGTCGGTTAAGCGTCCGGCTTCGGCTCGGGTCACGATCTCGCGGTCCGTGAGTTCGAGCCCCGCGTCGGGCTCTGTGCTGACCGCTCAGAGCCTGGAGCCTGTTTCAGAGTCTGTGTCTCCCTCTCTCTCTGCCCCTCCCCCGTTCATGCTCTGTCTCTCTCTGTCTCAAAAATAAATAAACGTTAAAAAAAAATTAAAAAAAAAAAACCAAAACTTCTCGTGCTAAGCTTCTTATAGATTCCTCAGCTGGAAGGGACATGAGAAGTCACGGATTACAATGCCCTCATTTTATTTTTAGTTCTCAACCTAACTTTGATGCCAAACAGGCTATAATCATCGAGTGGAATTTAATGTGAAGCCGGGTGGCAGTCTGAGCCGTCTGCCAGACTACAGAGAAATACCTGGCACCAGCAAGTGGAAGGTAACCAGAAGCATGGCGCCCTGCTTCGCAGCAAGGCTGGGGCCGTCGGCTGCTCAGAGACCAGCAGTTCTCATTGAGGAGGGACCACTGTGCTAATTGCAATTACTCGGATCAGTGGGGGCAAGTGCAGCAAGAAAAGTATTAGTGGCTTTTTAAAGCCCCAAGAGATTTCTTAGTACCCAGCCAGCACCTTAGAGGAGGGTTTGCCTTGCAAAAGGGTTCACTCACCACAGGGTACCTTTAAATATCCGGCCATAAAGGAGTGTGAAATGTGTTTGGTTTGGGAAGGGTTCCCCTTCGCACAGCATGACAAGACTGTGCACCTAATGGCACCGAAGTAAAGTAGGGCATCTTCAGAGTTCCTCTGTAACAACACTAGGATCTGTGATTCTTCTCAGACAGGAGATGACGAACGGTCACTTTAGTGAAAGGATAAAAATTCTCCAACCGGGGGAAAAAAAGATCCTTACTCTCCTTTGCTACTTCACAGCTGGAGTGAATAAAGTTTCCAACCCAGAACTGCTAATCAGATTTTTAAAAACCCCATGGAAATAGTCATGAGGATCTTTTAGGATGTCAAACTAACTATAAAAATGCATTATGTAATCACAAGATAGCTGCTTCAGTTGCTTAGGAGCTAACTAATTTGTGGGCTCGGCTTGCAACCGCTCTTAATATGGAGTAAAAGGGAAAACTTTTTTTAAAAAATTCTGAAACTTCCAGAATACAACTTATTTTTTAATAAGGATTTATTCATATTAATCCTTTGCAGTGAGAAATACTTTCACATTTTTTCCAACATTAATAAGTTTTCTAAAAAAAATGTAAACAGAATGGTCAGAATTCTACTTTCCTTCTACAGAGAGAATATTACATAAAGCGTGATTAGTGTTTTTCACTGTTCTGTGTAGTTTTGGGATTCTGTAAGTATTTGATTTGATTTTCTTTAATTAATTACCTTAAAGTTAGGAGAAAAAAGTAATACTCAGTAGTTTTGCATTTCATTAACTTGTGTTGCAAATTAACTCTTCTGTGGTCCTATCAGCTGACGTCTCCTAAGCATTCAGGGTGAACCTTGTGTAACAAACCAATAAAAACTGTTACCACTTTAGAGGGAACACACCTCAACATAAAATGGGCCATATATGAAAAACCCACAGCTAGCATCATATTCAACGGCGAAGAACTGAGAGCTTTTCCTCTAAGATCAGGAACAAGACCAAGATGTCCACTTGTATTCAACATAGTACTTGCTGAAGGTCCTCGCCACAGAAATCAGGTAAGAAAAAGAAAAAAAAGGCATCCAAGTTGGTAAGGAAGAAGTAAAACTTTCCCTGTTTGCAGACGACATGATACTATATACAGAAAGCCCTAAAGACTCCACCAAAAAACTACTAGAACTGATACATGCATTTAGTAAAGTCACATAATACAAAATTAATTACGGAAATCTGCTGCATTTCTATACACTAATAATGAAGTAGCAGAAAGAGAAATTAAGAAAACAATCTCATTGACAACTGTACCAGAAAAGAGTAAAATATCTAGAAATAAACTTACCAAGTTGGTGAAAGATCTGTACTCCAAAAACAATAGAACACTGATGAAAGAGACTGAAGATGACACAAATAAATGGAAAGATATTCCACAGTCATGGATTGGGATAACTAATATTGTTAAAAAGTCCATGTTACCCAAAGCGATCTACAGATTTAATTCCTTTCCTTTCAAAACACCAACAGCACTATCCACAGTAGAATAAGTAATCCTAAAATTTGCATGGAACCACAATAGTCTCAGAAGAGCCAAAACAATCATAAAAAAGAAGAAGAAAACTGGAAGTCTCACAATCCCAGATTTCCAGATATACTACAAAACTACAGTAATCAAACCAGTATCATTCTGGCACAAAAGCAGAATTATAGATCAAGGGAACAGGATATAGAGGCCAAAAATAAACTCATGCTTTTATGGTCAACTAATCTTTGGCAAAGGAGGCAAGAATATGCAATGGGAGAAAGACAGTCTCTTTCACAAATGGTGCTGGGAAAACTGGACAGCGACGTGCAAAAGAATGAAACTAAACCACTTTCTTATACCATACCTAAAAATAAACTCAAAATGGATTAAAGACCTAAATGTGAGACCTGAAACCATAAAATTCCCAGGAGAAAACTTAGGCTGCAATTCCTTGACATCAGCCATAAAAACATTTTTCTAGACATGTCTGTCTCTTCTGGGAAGGGAAAGAAATGCAAAATTAAACTTTTGAGAGTACATCAAAATAAAAAGCCTTTGCACAGTGAAGGAAACCATCAAAAGAACAAAAAGGTAACCTACTGAATGGGAGAAGATATTTGTAACTGATATACCCAGTAATTGGTTAATATCCAAAATATATAAAGAACTTACACAATTCAACACCACCACCAACCCCCCCGAAATAATCCAATTAAAAAGTGGGCAGAGGATACACACAGACATTTTCCCAGAGAAGACATCCAGATGGCCAACAGACACATGAAAAGATGTTCAACATCACTCATCATCAGGGAAATGCAAATCAAAACTACAATGAGATATTACTTCACACCCATCGGAATGGCTAAAATAAAAAACTCAAGTGTTGTCACGGACATGGAGAAAAAGGAATCTGCATGCACTGTTGGTAGGAATGCAGACTGGTGCAGCCACTGTGGAAAACAGTATGGAGGTTCTTCAAAACATTAAAAATAGAATTAGCATAGGATCCAGTAATTCCACTCCTGAGTTTTTACGCAAAGAAAATAAAAATACTAATTTGAAGAGATATATGCACCCCTAAACTTACTGCAGCTTTATTTACAATAGCCAAATTATGGAAGCAACCCAAGTGTCCGTCAATCAATGAATGGATAAAGAAGTGGTGTGTTTGTGTTCGTGTTCGTGTGTGTACACACACACACACACACACACACACACACACACACACACACACACACTGGAATACTATTCAGCCATAAAAAAGAATGAAATCTTGCCATTTGCAACAACACGAATGGATCTAGAGAGTATAATGCTAACTGAAGTCAGTCAGAGAAAGACAAATACCATATGATTTCACTCATATGTGGAATTTAAGACATAAAACAAATGAACAAAGGGAAAAAGAGACAAAAAGAACAGACTCTTAAGCACAGAGAATAAATGGTAGTTAGCAGAGGGGAGGTGGGTTGGGATGGGTAAAATAGATGAAGGGAATTAAGAGGACACTTACTGGATAAGCAATGAAGTAATGTATAGAATTGTTGAATCATTATATTGTACACTTGAAACTAATATAACACTGTATGTTAATTATACTTGAAATGGAAAAGTAAAGAATTAAATGCAATCAGCCATACATATACACACACACACAAAGTTACCACTTTGTATCTACTTATGTTATAACTCATTATTTTCAAATACTTGACAAACAAAACAAAATAAAAAGTGAAGGCTAATATAACAAAATAAAAGTGAAGGCTTTTATATATATATATA